GGCGTGTGCGTTTTATTTCCAACCCTTCCCCGCCGCATCGCTCGGAAAAAACCATTTTCACCCCAACGCCACCCCCCCCCCCCGGCCCCGTCCTTCGCGTTCCTCGAAGTTAAACCGAGATCTACCTCTGTACACGAACCCCCTCCCCGCTCTCGGCGTCCCTGGATCCGCCCCGGCAAAACCAGATCGCGCACCCGGCGGCCGATTTCATGGTCAGCTGCACCCCTTGTGCAAAAAGCCGCCGTATAAAGGAAGGTTTCTTCCAGCAGGTCGGCTATTAAATCAGGGGTTTTTTTTATAGGGGTACCGTATAGAAGTTACTCCGAGGTACGGGTCTGTCGCACCTACGTGTATAGAGCAAGTGAGAGCACACAAAGCTCTTTCTTTTCTTCAAAATAGTAAAAAACACGTGTGTTTTTCCAAGGGTGGGAGCCGAGAGGCTTGTTTGCGACGGGGTTTCTTTCAGGTGTGACGAGCGAGGAGCAATATTATCTTTACTGGGGCTGGGAGGGTCTGTCGGCTATAACTGACAGTAAATCCGCCGTCTAGGCCACCTCTCATTTGTCACTTCGTTAACGCTCCTTTCCAAATTTAACAAAGCCTCAGCTGTATAAAGTGACGTTATTAATTTTAAGGTAATACTTTAAAATACGCGCTGCTCCTCGGTGGCCAGAATAGCAAAAAGAAAAAGAACCCGCTGAGTTTTCTCCTAACACGCTCATTCCTACTTATTTTTCCCGTAGCAAAGCGCTCACGCTGCCGGTATGGCAGGATAACGATTGGAAAGGGCTTCTGTTTTTTTTCCAGGCGTCGTCACCGCCGTGTTACGTCATTGCCGTGGCGCTGAGGTCACAAACGCCGCGCGGCAGCCGGCGTGGGTCCTTCTGCGAGGATGTGTGCTGCGCCGGGGACCGTCCCCTATAGATCGGGCGGGCAGGAGCGATAGGAAAGCCCGGGATGAGCGCGGATTCGGGGAAGAATTTTCCCCCAGTCAGTGTTTTCTGCAATACCAGTAGTTGCTTAACAGACATGGCTTCTTCACCGCGTACCCGCAGCGACTCTCCACGGTGAGCCGTCCCCCGAAAATGCACGACGTTGCTTTAATTGCTTTAATTTATTTATTTTTTTTTCCCCCGTCCAGCCTTAGAAATCGTTCGGTTGCTTTCAACCGCCCTTACTCACCGGTTGCCGTATTTCAAATGACTCCGTTTCGTTGTGTTTAAAACCATTAGGCAAACTCGGCGCTTCCATAACGCTTGCCTAAAACTTTGCAGAGCGCTTTCCCAGCGCCAAATACGCCCCACAGTCCCTCTGAGAGGTTGGTGTGTCGTTTCTGGCCCAAACCTCCTCAAATCCGGCAGAACTGGAGTTAAAAACCGGCAAGAGATGGTATTGCCCGTCTTAAGATGTAGTTTGGTATCTAAGCCTCTGTATAAACATGATTTCTCAGGCTTTCCTTCTTTAGGAGGCGTGTGTTGATTAATTACTTACTGTTCATCTGATTAATTAATTACTATTTGTCTGCTAAAGAGCTCAGTTTTGACAGTCGGGCCTCGGTCCCGTCTCGTGGTGCTTTTCAAATGAGCCTTGCAGCGGCCGCAAAATTTTTACGCTTGGTTCTCGGGAGCCTTTTTGGTCTTCGTTTCGGTAACCACGGCGAATGTAGTAACGCAGTTGTCAATCGGGAGGCGGCTCCAGGGGTGAGGCCTCCTCTAAACCTCGATATCGGACCAGAGCAGCTCAAGGCAGGGTAAAAGGGCCTGGCCTGTCCGAAATGAAGGGTAATTATCACTCCTGAAAATCGCAATTAAGGTGTTAGCGACACGCGTTTGCTCCTCTCTGAAGGCAGCGGGGAAGGCAGGGAGCGATCGCGATCCCCAGCCGGCGAGGACTTCTGGGCGAGGGTAAATGGCGCTGATTTCCACGGAGCGACGCCGAAGGGAATAACCGTTTTTTGCAAAGACGTATGGCGTGAGGGCGTTTTTATCGGGCCGCAGCGGGCTTTGTAGCAGCTCCTTGTTTCCTACGAGCCTGTCCCGTGCCCGGGGTGAGCTGCGTCAGTGTTTCGCTCCGCTGTGCTCGCTAGTCCTCTGCTAGTAGGTTGCTGGAAACGATCCAGAAGACCCGGTGGCACGTCTAGTTTGAAATCCGTTTATTGATGAACCTGTCCCTCTAGGGAAAGGAGAGGGGCTTTGGCCGGACTTTTATATAAGTATTTAAATACACGGGTATTTCAGTTCCTTTCCGTAAGCTTGTTTTGTTTCTGTCTCTACTTCTGCTCGGCTTCGTGCGGAGCGCGAGTTTCTCGGGTCTTGTTCCGAGACTGATCTCGCTGAGTACAAACACCTGAAGGATGCTGCCTTCCTGCGACAGAAGTCGCTTCCACCGATAGTCCCCTTTAAAACTTCTATATACACCTAGGAATTACGCGTCAGGTTTAAGAGCTTGATGAGCCGTACTTAAGTGAGCTTGATTTTGGAGCTAGCCTGTTATTAAAATGGTGCAAGCGCAAACAAAAACAAGAGGGGAGCTTTGCATCAGCGCCGGACCGGGTGGCCGGATCCGAGTGTTCGCTCTCCGGCGATGCCGAAACCGCCCCAGGATGCTTCCTGGGGACTGTTAACGCTGGGTTTGGTAGTTTTCTTAGTGTGCTTGGGCAAATAATTCAGTTTTTCTTGGTTGGGTTGGTTTTTTTAATGTGACCTGAGGTTATCAACAGGTCGGCTCGTTCACGCAGCACAGCTTTTTCCGAATGCCGTTCGTAAACCCCATTTCAGCTTCCAGACCTCCCTGAGAGCTACCGAGCGGCGGCAGCTCCATCTTCCAGCCGAGCTGCCTTCTCCGCAGCCGACGGCACAGCAACGGGCCGGGACCGCACGGGACTTTTTGCCGTTCCATTGGAGTGCTAAAGGGGGGACTTTACAGCAGCCAAAGAAGCCAGTCTTCCCGTAGCCCCCCAAAAAAACCCAACCAGAGGGATGCGTGTCAAAGATCCACCTCCTATACGCTCCTAAACTGTTGTTTGTGAACGACCGTGACACGTGTAAACAAGCCGGCGTTTACGTTTTTAATTATAGCTTAAGCGAAAAGGGAGGAGGAGACCCCAGTCTTGTTTTAAAATCACGCGGCGACAAACTCGGGACCTGTCGGGAGAGAAGGAAAACGCAAGGGAGCCGACTGAACTCGTGCCGGATTACACATTTAATCCGTTACGAGGTTGTAAAAAGTTTCTCGCAACCCGTATCCGAGGAATTTTTAATTGCATTTAATGGAGTGGGGCTTGGGGAAATCCTCTTGAGGAAGTTTCAGATTTGCTTTATCACCTCCGCTAACCACAGTCGTGAGTGAAGGGTAGCGTGAGGTGGAGAGGGTGGAAATAACTGGGCACGCGTCTCTCGATTTGGCAGACCAACGTGGTATTTACGTAACTCGTGTCTTCTAGAGGACCGATTGTTTTATTAAAACACCAGTTTCCCTTCTTGGAGGGGACCGAATCTTTTATTAGAGCACCAGTTTCCATTCTTGGAGTTCATTTGCAGTAATTTCATATGGAAGTTGAGCGCCGTCGTGTTGCGGCTTCGGTTTGTTGTTTGCGAGGTGCTTCTTCGCCGTCTTTAACTCCCGGCTGAGCGAGGGAGCTCGAGCGGATTTCGGTGGCAGAGACGAACAGGATCGGTATTTGCGGTCAGATATTTAAACCCGCGGTAACTAGGAATTTGTGAGCACTTTGGGAGCCGAGTGCCTGGCTGGCTGGTGAGCCGAGTAAGCAGGTTTTCTTTTTTTTTTTTAAAATAAGGGGAATTAAACGTGCCTGTCTGCTTTACAGGGAGGATGGAGAACTGGAAGAAGGGGAGCTGGAGGACGACGGAGGGGAGGAGGCGCAGGATCCCTCCGAATCTCAAGAGAGGGGTCGGAAGGAGAAAGGGGAGAAGCATCACAGCGATTCAGATGATGAGAAAGCCCATCGACGGATGAAGCGCAAGCGTCGGAAAGAGAGAGAGAAAGAGAAGAGGAGATCCAAGAAGAAAAGGAAATCCAAACACAAGGTGAGCCACGTGCTGCTTTTGCCTCCCGGGTCCCCCGGGATCCCGGCTCCGGTCTGCCTTCCTCTGCCACCGGGTGTCTCCAGGGAATTCCTCCTCTAACATTATTATGGGTAGTTTGAGGCTCTTCCCCTGACGATAATTGCGAGGTGGGAGCGCTCGCGGGATTTCTTGGGGTTCAGCTCCTTAACGCCTTCCTCCTCTGAGGACTAGCAAGCCCAGCAGCGGGGCACCGAGGTCTGCAGGTAGGATAAAAATGCTGCAGCACTCTCTTGCCCGTCTGAGGATGCAGAGCGGAAAGAAAACAGTTGTTTGGAGTTAGGTATTCACCTCAAAGGGGATCGCGGACCGGCATATTTGCAAAATCAAGGATGTTTTTGTTACTCAAGGTCCAAGAATTTCTGGAGCGCAGAGGGCGTATCCTGTTTGTCTTCGTTAGATAACCTGCTAACAGGCTTCCAGTTTGTAATTCAGTGAACACCGTGAAGATTTTGTTAAGCAAAAATTGAGTTCCCTAAAAAAGGGAGGACAGAGGGAGACTTAGTTGCGTCGCATAGAAAGGCCGGAGGCCTGGCAGCGGCGTCAGAGTCAGAGCTGGCCTGTAATAAAATTGCACCGCCTGTTTTCCTTGCCTTGCAGCGCCACGCTTCTTCCAGCGATGACTTCTCTGATTACAGCGAGGACTCGGACTTCAGTCCTGGTGAAAAGGGACACAGAAAATACAGGGAATACAGCCCTCCCTACTCTTCCGTAAGTACCTGCCAGCGGACAGGGGAGGGGGAGCCGCTCTCCGGTTGAGAGCCGCTGCGGGATTTGAGCGCCGGCGCCCGTCTAGCTCCATCTACGGGCCACACGCTTTGGCTCTGGTCCTTTAGCCTGTTTATTTTTCACCTAGCTGTGATGTGGGGAGGGGGGGGGTGGGTTTAATGATTTTTAAAAACTAAGTCATGATAGTGGGCTTGATACGCTCCTTTTCTTCATCACTAACCTCTCTGCCTCTCCCAAAGTCCCACCAGCAGTATCCGTCCTCTCACAGCGCTCCCATGCAAAAGAAGAGCTACTCTAAAATGGAGAGCAAGAATTACGGCATGTATGAGGACTACGAGAACGAGGAGTACGGTCAGTACGAGGGGGAAGAGGATGAAGATATAGGGAAGGAAGATTACGATGACTTTGCGAAAGAGCTGAATCAATACCGGAGAGCGAAGGAAGGCTCTCACCGGGGGCGAGGTATGTCTAAACGTTCCTTTTCTTCACCGTATCTCCGACGCTCCTTACCTGCAGCTCGTTTAGCTGATCTGCGGCCAAATAAGGCCCGACACGTGCAGGAAGCTTCGTGGAGGTGAACTGCCCTGCCGGCGTGAAGCCCTGCCTGCGGAGAGCCAGCTGCAGTGGCCTAAAGCACTCATCGGTGTCAGTCTGTGACAGGGGAAAGCGGTTTTTTCGTGTTTTCCACTCTGAGGGGAAAGTTCGGATCCCCGTGGATAATTTAACGTTTTAAATAAGCACTGTTCTTGCTAGCGTAAGCAGTTGAAAATGGATAAAATGAAACAAAACCTTTATTTGAAAGGAAAATGAAGTTGACTGGTAGCGTAACGAGTCTGATGTCATCCCTTCTGGAGTACACGGATTTACGTTACCGGTCTAACGTCCGTGCGCAGCAGCTGACGTGGTCACACAGCATTGTTTTTTTTTAAAAAAGGTTATCATTTGGCTTCTTAAAAATCCGTTCTTTTAGCATATTAAAAACTGATTGACTTAGAAACAAGTTTTTAAGATGCTGGTAATCCCGTACCAAAAGGTTATTCTTTGTTTTTCCTTGTCTGGCATATCGTTGGGCTGTTTCGACGTACCTGAGGGGTGAAACGCAGCACAAAGCCGACCCCGTCCCTTTGTTTCGCCAGGTGGCCGTGGCCGAGGCAGAGGGTACCGAGGGCGAGGCGGCAGAGGGGGAATGAGAGGAGGCCGAGGCATGGGCCGAGGGAACCGAGGGCGAGGCAGAGGTGACCACCCCGAGGAAGAGGAGGAAATGTATGACGAAGAGATGGAAGTAAGTGCGGAGCCTCCAACCTGCTCTCGGGCAACCACGGAGGCGAGAGAATATCCTTTTTCACGGCTGGGACGCCTGTGTCTGAGGGGGAACGGGCTGCCCTTCATCCCCGCTCGCTCAAGGCACCGATCTTTCTCGTTTGCAGTACTGCGATAACGAGGAGCCCATCGGCGATGACGAGTACGACGACTACTCGAAAGAGCTGAATCAGTACCGGAGGAGTAAGGAGAATCGTGGACGGGGTGAGTGGGATAACGAGCCGTGCTGGGACGGTCCCCGCTTTCTGCCCTCTCACACGTTTTAAGGAAGGAGAGAAATTAGAAACGAGGGGGCGTATTTCAGGTTTAAATCGAGGACGTGGTCGCGGCCCCAGAGGAAGAGGAAATAAAGGAATGGGCAGAGGACGAGGCAGAGGTGGAAACAGAAGTGGAATGGGGAAGGGCGGTGGAATGAACGAAGACGACGATTACTACGACGAGGACATGGGAGTGAGTAGCTCTTTGTTTCCTAACGGCTTGCTGCGGTGCTGGATGCCCCCCTTTCCCCCACCCCCCCTCTGTAAACCCAGTCAGGCTTCGAAGAAAGCCTTCGCAGGAGCGAAAAAACCAAACGGATCTTCCCCAAGATCCACAAAAGTTGTCCCGTCTCTGAAGGGGATGGATGTTTTGGATTCCGATCCACTGACGGGTCCCTCGAGGAGCCTGCTAGGCTCAGCGCGCTCGTCTTTGCCTCCCGTTTTCATCCCAAATCTCAGTGTTTTTCCCTCTCGGAGATGGCTGCGTAGGAAGTTTTAATTGCCCTCGTGTGATCTCTTGCTTTGTATTTCAAATTCTTTGTCAACTAATACAGTGTGCTTCCGATAGGATGGAGGAGGTGGTGGAAATTACCGGCGGAACGATCACGATAAACCCCACCAGCAGTCGGATAAGAAAGGGAAAGTGATCTGCAAATACTTTGTGGAAGGCAGATGTACCTGGGTAAGGGAATAATTCGAGAATATTTCTGTAGCGCTCTCGATACACACACAGAACCGTCACTGAAGCGTCAGGTCCAGGTTTTAAGCCATTTCAGGGAGGGATTCGTGCCTCCAAAGAGCGTTTTGTAAAGGCTACGCCTCCCCCTGTCCGTCCTAGGTGTGTTCTGGGCTGCTGACAAACGCGTTGGCACTTCCACCTGCTAACGCGCTGTCGTGTTGTTTCCGAACAGGGCGACCACTGCAATTTCAGTCATGACATTGAACTACCAAAGAAAAGGGAACTGTGCAAGTTCTACATCACTGGCTACTGCGCCAGGGCTGAAAACTGCCCTTACATGCATGATATCCTTTTGGTTTTTAACCGTTTCGTTAAGCCAGCCTTAAATCGGTCTCGTTGACTCTCGGAGGGAGGCGGTCGGGGGGGGGGAAAAAAGGCCATTCCTGGGTAACACACCCTCCGCCGACAGGCTGAATGACCGGGGCTGCAGACGGCCCTCCCCGTTCCTTCTTAG